TGTCCAAAACAGGGAGGATAGGCTGCTTGTCTCTACTAGTGATTGCTCTATATGATGCCAAGATTGATCTTTTTGATCTATACTTAATGTGTTAACAGTATGGGCCAACATACATGCGTCATGATATTCAATTATATTTGGGGCAGCAAGACCTCCCTCTTTTCTTTTCTTAGATATTAACTGTAAACTTATTCTTGGTTTTTTACCTTTCCAAATAAATTTAGAAAAGGCTGATTGTATCATTTTTAACCATGGATTGGGAACTTGTATAGGTATCATTCTAAAAAGATAGTTCCATTTAGGCAAAATATATGATCGAATAGTATTTATGCGGCCTATCCAAGAAATCTCCTTGCCTGCCCATTCTTTTAATAATTTATTAGTATTTTTTATAAGAGGAAGAAAATTAACTTCAATAACTCTATTCATATCTCTTGTTATTTTTATGCCAAGGAATGAGATATATTCCTTAACCCAGACAAAATCATAGGATATTTTAATAAAATCCTTATCTTTCCTGGATAAATTAGTTGTCATTATTGTGGTCTTGTTAATATTTAATTTATAATTTGAGAATACACTATAATGATCTAGTATTCTTATCAATTCCCGCAATGATGATCTAGGATTCTGCATCATAAGCATGACATCATCCGCATATAGATTAATCTTATGTTCTAGATTATTAAGCCAAAACCCCTCAATCTTTCCGTTTTGTCTTATATCTTCTGCAAGAGGCTCAATGGTCAGAACATAAAGTAACGGGGAAAGAGGACATCCTTGCCTGGTTCCGTTTTTAATAGTAAACCAATCTGCCTCTATCCCAGGGCCAATGGTCCTTGCCGAAGGAACTGTGTATAGTGCCATAATGGCATCATAAACTGTTCCTACTATGCCATATGATTTCAATGTGTTTCCCAGAAAGTCCCATCTGACCCTGTCAAATGCTTTCTCAGCATCTAATTACAGGGTCAGAAGGGGAGCTCTTTTCCTATTCGCAGCGTCATGTACATCAATTCTTCTTCTTAATCCGTCTGATGCTACTCTGCGGTATACAAATCCAGCTTGATCCTGATGTATTAAAGTCGGAATACATGCTTTTAATCTATCTGCAATAATTGAGGCAATAATTGATTCTAAGTTATATAATCGACTATAATAGTCATTAAAAGCTGACCCAATTTTTTTCGGACTTAATAACGATTCTTTTCCTTCCTCAATTTTATGTATCCTCCTCATTTGTTTTTTGTTTTTCAATTTATTTGTAAGCAGCCTATCCGCCCTGTTACTCTTATAATACCAATTAATCTTTAGGAGTTGGAGATTTCTCTTTTTTTCCTCAATTAATAATTCATTTATTTGATTCTGCAATAATAGCATATTTATACTTTTCTCCTGAGTTGGTAAAATTTTATTTTCATTCGATAAGTTATAGTAATCTACATATAAATCCTTCAGGGGTCTCCCCTTTTTTTTTTTATCGATTGTACCTAACTTAATTAAATAGCCTCTTATGACGCATTTATATGCGTTCCAGACCATCGGCAGTGATACTTCTCCCCCCTCATTTTCCTGAAAGAAGCTATCTGTCATCTCCTCTATATATTCTCTATTTTCCTTACTGGAAAGAATATTATCATTTAATCTCCAATGGGTACGTCTTGCACTATTATCCACTATGTCCAACTCCAAGATTATGGCATTATGATCGGACCAAGTTACCTCATCTATAAGAACTTTTTTAGTACTATTAATAAATCCAACACTACCCAAAAATAAATCAATTCTTGAGTATGAGAAATATGCTCTGGAGAAGCATGTAAAATCCCTCTCCAGTGGATGAAGCACTCGCCATATATCCATGAATCCATATTTCTTAATTATCCTTTGAAATTGTACAGCTTTTGCGGTTACCCCTTTAATTGACCCCTCAGGATTTAAGGTTTTCCTATCCATATTTACATCTGGGAGCCGATTGAAGTCACCCGCCAAAAGTAATTTACCCTGTTTTATTTTATCTACTTTATCAAAAAGGTTATAGAAATATTTATTAGAGGGATTATTAGGCGCGTACACATTTACTAACGTATAAATTTCTGATTGGATTTTAATTATCACTATAATAAATCTAGCTTCTTCATCTGATTCTTGATATATGATTTTAGCATCTAAGTCCTCACTTATCATAATGACTACTCCTCTTTTCCTCTGATTCTCTAATGTGGCGGATATTACTGTTGAGAAACTTTGTGGAATGAATCTAAACTTATCATCTCTTTTCCAGTGTGTCTCCTGTAAAAAGACGATATGAGCTTTTTCTTTCTTAATATAATCGAACAAAATTGCTCGTTTACTAGGGGAATTTAAACCCTGAACATTTAACGATATAACTTTAACCATTTCTCTTTTTTAATCTTTTTTCTGAACTTCTTTCTATTCTGAGGATGAGCCCCCTTCACAATTACCACTTTCATACCAAACATACCCCATCCTCTCATATACAAGAGGCAGTCATTCAACAAACCCTGAGTATTAACCTCTGGGTTTAGATCCAAAAGGGAAAAATCCCCTAAATGGAGTCTAGTCCTCATATAGAAAATTACTAAATGAGGAAAAATTAAAAGCTGAGCTAGGATCGTCCCTTAGTTTTACCTATTATCTTCGCCTGCTCCCATAACACATTACCTCCCCCCTCCAAGCGTTTATTACAAAGCTTCTCTAGATCCTCATTTTAGACTCTTCTGTTTATGTTAAAGAATCTATCCAGTTCTCTCCTCTTCCAGTTGTTTACGAATCCCTACCTACTTTTCCCATACTTCTCTCTTAAGACTATTTGTGAGAATATTACTTCCTTACTAACAGACATTTCCATTTTTATTTTCCAAGTATAAATAACTATTTCCCAAGTGCAAATATTTTATCTTTCTATAGTCTCAACTAAATTACCGTGTTTCAATAATTTTAAAAATATCCTAAAGTGACTCCAGTGATCATCACAACTATTCCAATACTTTAATCTCTATAATATAATTCTACCTACTTTCATTTAATCCATTTTTATAAGTGCCACTTATATCTATTATTTTACTTAGTGTTTACTTATTTAGTGCTTCATCGTGAGGATAATCCACATATCTTACCTATTTAAATTTATCAATTTTTTCATTCCGCCTATCGTTTATTCTATAACTTATACTACTCTAAATATTTTCCCTTATAATAAACTTACTACACCATCCCACATATTTATTTCATCAGTGCTTAATCATAAAACCATGAAATAATACATATTCCTTTAACAAAACTATTAAACCTTTCCCAATAAGGTCTAGTAGGGGTTAAATCTAGATCAATCAGAGAGCTGAATCTTACTTATTCAAATTATTACCATAATTAAACCAAATTTTCCAACCACTTTGTGACCTTGTCAAGTGAGTCAAATATGTGTATAGTCCCATCCTTAGTAACTATAAGTTTAGTTGGAAATCCCCATCGATATTTTAGATCTTTTTCCCTCAGACGCAGGGTAGCTGGAATAAATTGTTTTCTCGTTTGCCTAGTTTGAAAGGACAAATCTGGGAAAACTTTTATATCTTTAAATTTGCCTTGATCTCTTTCCATTTGTCTTGCTGCTTTTAAAATCTTTTCTCTAAATGAATAAGAATGACAGGCGATAATTATATCTCTTGGAAAATCGTCTGGAAGTGTTCTTGGTTTGTTTAACCGATGAGATCTTTCAAGAAAGTCCCTCTTATCATCGATATTGATTTTGAGAGCTTCAAAAAATTCCGCAAGAAAATTTGCCAAATTGCCCTGCGAAATAGATTCTGGTATGTTTCTTATTCTTAAATTGTTTTTTCTTCCTCTATCTTCTATATTAGTTAATCTCTCCTCCAATTCATTAATCTTCGTTTGTTGTTTTTCTATAGATTCTTTTTGCTTCTGTAGGAGGAATTCCAGATTTTCTATTTTCTGTTCATTTATTTTAACTTTTTGTCCAACAGATATTATTTCCTTCTTTAACTTTACAAAGTTCCTTTGCATTTCCAACTTGATTTGATCCAATTGTTGATCTAAACATTGTTTTAAATATGCTTGAGTGATCATTAGTTCCTCTGAAGATTCTTGTGGTTCTACCTCCTTTAGATCTCCTGTGTGCTTACTTAAAGGCATTTTATTTGACGTAGAAATCAAAGAGGATTCCAAAATGCTTTTGTCTACTGGAGCATTAAAAAAATTTGAAAGTCTCTTTTCCTGTTTATCTTTTTTTTCCCCGGTCTTTTTTTGAAAGAGACTTCAAGTCTTGTTTCTGATCCGCTGTTTTCCTTGTTGTCATTATATATTTTCTTTTTTTCTTTTTTTTTCTTTTCTTTTATTTATTTATTATTTTTTTTTTCTTTATTTATTTGTTTTTCCCAATTTAACAAAAAAAATTCCGCTTTCCTTTAGTTATAGTAGTTCAATTTTAGATGTTGTGATTCCAATTCCAATTATTAAGCGTGCTGCACCCTTTCGTGCTTGATTAATTCAGCAGTATGGCATCCACTCAAGTTCTTAACAATTCAATAATATACAGCTTAAACAAATTCTTAGTATGTCAATATGGCTCAGAACTTGATTGCACATTTACATCTAGTGCTCGCTTCTACTTCAAGAATAGAGTTCAACTCCTTCACTTTATATACCAGTCTCATGTAACTCTGATACTTCCTCTATTTCAAATAAGAGTATGAAGTTCCACTCAGTCTCTTTATATGCCAATCCCTTAGCAAGCGTCTTCTTAGATCTAAGCTCGCATCCACTGCATTATAAATTACCCATGCAGTTTAATTGGCAGTGTTACTTCCTTATATCGCCTTGTGTAACTCATTATTTCGGCATTATTCAATAGTTATTTGCTCGAGTTTTTTATTTTTTATTTTTTTTTCAATTATAAGTTTCTTATCAACTCTTATTAATTCAGTGAGACTTTATCTCATTTCACGCTTGAGTTTTGTGCTCACCTCTACTCCAGTATAAAAAATTCCACTCTGCCATTTGTTTACCAAATACTTTGAAAATCAGCTTCTTAGATTCAAGCACACTTCCACAGCGGTTTTCAAGAAGGCTGACTAAATCTCCTTACACGCTTAAGTTTTGTGCTCACCTCTGCTCCAGTATAAAGAATTCCACTCTGCCTTTTGTTTGCCAAACACTTTGAAAATCAGCTTCTTAGATTCAGGCACACTTCCACAGCGGTTTTCAGGCAGGCTGCCATTCCACTACCTTATCTTGCTGTGAGACAAAGTTGTAATAGAAACGAGGAAGCAAATTAATACAGATTTCCCTTCAGTCACATATATTCAACCCGCACAGCAAGCGAGCCCTTCAGTGCAGTCTTGGATTGCCGCTCTTGTGGGGACATGCATCGAGTGTCTGTGCTATTTCTTCGATATATATTCGGCGTTTCTCCTCTACCCCCGGTGGGACTCCAGCTCAGCTTAATCCCGCGGCGTGCACGCCACGCTACGCACCCCACGTATCCCTCGCGTCGTCACGTCGACATCCCGCCCTAAGGTTAAATATAGTGCCTGCGAATTAAATTCTCTGCACTTTCTGCCTGGGTTGTCAGGCACGTCAATCAAATTTTAATTAATTAAATCAAATAATTATGTTAAAAGATTACTTAAAATTAATACGTATAATTTTAATATATATATATATTTAAATTCTACGTGCATACTTATGTAATCATTAATGTAATTATATATATTTATCTATATATATTTGCAGTTATTTGTATTTTATATATAGATATATATATATATATATATATATAAAATGTCATTCAAAGTGTATTTTGTTACCAATATATATATATATTAATAACAAAATACAGTTAGAATGATTATTGTAATTATACGTGTATATATATATAAATATAAAATATACATGTATTATATATATATATATATATAATATATATCTTATATATGTAACTTCATTCTAAGTGTATTTTAATATTAATATATGTACTTATATTAATATTAAAATATACTACGTATGACGTTACATATATATAATATGTACACCCTGTTCCAAATTATTATGCAAATTCTAGTTAAGTGTCACAAAGATTAAATATTTAGTTTTTCAGTTTAACTCATTGATGGCATTGTGTCTCAAGGCTCTTTTGATCACTGAAAACAATCTCGGACATCTGTGATAATTAGATTGCAAGGTGAGCCCAATTTAAGGAAAAACTACTAAAGGAGGGTGTTCCACATTATTAAGAAGAGCACCATTTTCATGCAATATGGGGAAGAAAAAGGATCTCTCTGCTGCCGAAAAGAGTGAAATAGTCCAATGCATTGGACAAGGTATGAAAAATTAAGCGTGATCATCGCACTAGTAAGAGATTTGTGGCTGATTCAGACGGGTTCGTGTAGATAAAGGCACATTGAGGAAGATTTCTGCCAGATCCATGCATCGGATCAAGAGATTCGCAGGTTACACACTGTGCGCTTCCTGCATTCGTCGGTTTTGCGTCCAAAATGTTTGCATGTTTGTCTACTGAACCGTCTCAGGGTTCACTTCAGGTCCCTGTTACATGCAACCGCAACCCTTCTTCCCCCAAACAGGGAATCAGCAAAGGTTCAACTATTCCAGGGGCTCAGATTGTGGAATAAGTGACAGAGGACGTGTCCGAGCAAGGTTTACCTCCGGTAAGTCATTTTCCTTCTACCCCTCTTCCTACTGTTCAAATTGCCGGTTTTCTTTTTTCCAGAACTGGGCAGACCTTTCCACAGACGGTTGGATCCTACAGACTGTTCGTGAATGCCAAATAGAATTCAAATAGGTTCCCGTTCAATCACACCTGCCCCACCCACTGTGATTCGCGGCCGCCGATACTGGACTGATAGATCTGGAGCTTCGGGAACTTCGCTTGAAAGGAGCCAATTAACTTCCACTGGATAACAGAGGCTTCTTCAGCAACATATTCCTAGTCAGGAAGAAATCTGGTGAATTTCATTCTGTGACAACCTGCGGGAATTGAACGCTCAGGTAGTTTACAGGCACTTGAAGATGGAAGCCATTCATCTCCTCCAGGACCTCCTTCAAGATGAAAATTGGTTTACTTAACTGGACCTCATGGACGCATACCTCACTATTCTCATTCACGCCCAGAGCCGCCCTTTCCTACACTTCCTATGGCACAGAGACGTATGGCAATTCACCTGCCTCCCATTCGGCCTCAGCTCGGCCCCATGGTGCTTCACGAAGATGCTGAAGCCAGTGGTCGCTCATCTTTGTGCTTGAGGAATTCGTTGTATCATCTACCTGGACGACATTCTCCTCTTCGGCGGAGACAAAGGAACATTGCAAGATCATACCACCTACACCATCCAATTGTTAGAATCCCTGCGCTTTGTGATCAACATACCCAAGTCCACATTGAACCTGGCTCAGAGAGTTCAATTCCTGGGGTTTGAGACTGACTCCAGAACTTGTACCATACGTCTTCCCACTTCCCGCTTCAAAAATTGCGTCCATCCGCAGGGAGATCCACAAGGTGCTACGACAACCATCCATCCCTCTCCGTCTCCTCGCATACAGGCGATATTTCCAATATCTCAAGGCTCATGCCCTCCGCAGGAAACCCACATACGATCAACCGTATCAGATGAATTTCGCTCCAAACTCCAATGGTGGTAGCTATTTAAAAGCAAGAACCAGAATTTTTGAAATTGAGCTCTATATTTTATAGGAAGCCAATGTAGGGACTGACAGAAGGGTGAGGCATGGGAGGTGCGGGCAGACAGGAAGATGAGCCTCGCTGCCGCATTCATTATGGACTGCAATGGGGCAAGTTGGGAGCACGTAAGACCACTGAGAAGTGGATTACAGTAGTCAAGGCGAGAAAGGACAGTGGAATGGACCAACACCTTAGTCGCATCTGGCGTTAAGTAGGGGCGGATGCGCGCAATGTTTTTGAGATGGAAATGACAGGATTTGGCGATAGATTGAACATGAGGCTTGAAGGAGAGGTTGGAGTCAAAGAGAACACCTAAGCAGCGAGCCTGCGTGGTGGAGCTGATGGTAGCACCGTTGACTTGGAGGGAGACAGTCACGAGTAACAACACTTGAGGGAGGAAAGAAAGGCAAGCGGTGATGAACTCTAGGAGATCAGGGGAAATATCAGGAGAGGAGAGATATATCTTTGGATATGGTAGCTGAATCCTAAGGAATTAATAGGTTTTCCAAGAGAAGCAGTGCAATGAGAAAACAAAAAGGGACTAAGAACAGAACCTTGGGGGACTCTAACTGAGACAGGCGTAAGGTGGTGTCATT